GTGTGCGCGCGCGCGCCCACACACACACACACACACACACACACACACACACACACACACACACACACTCCTCCTTTTCCAAAGCAAGCCTATATATATATATATAAATTGTGACCATCCAGGCAAGGGGACAAGTGTATTGGTATCATTTTGTAATGAACAGTGGCTAAATTCTTCATGTGACTTTAGTGTGTAATCTGCTGATGAAGGCGTTTTCCCCAAGTAAGTTTAATTACATTACTTCTCCCCCCCCCACTCCACCTCCCCCTGCTGTCAATTTTTCCCATCAATAGGCAAAAGTCAGCCGTTCTTTAGAATAGGATTAATGCAGCCTCTGGGTCCCTCTGGTCTTGGGAACCAGACTTCGGAGTGATGAGAGGTTAATAGCTGGGATGGAATCTTGGTCCGTAGATACCGATGAAGGCAGAGTATTGCTCTCCTTCTTTGAAGTTTCTCTTCTCTTCTGGCAAGCAGACAAGGGGGGAAAGAAGCAGTTTGCACAGTGGAGCCGAGTGCTTGAAGTGTTTCCTTTGGAAAGCCGAGAATCGTGGCATATTCCTTCAGTATTTCTCATATTAGGAGTTGGTTTTTGCTTTTTGTTTGAGAAAAAAGATGTTAGCTGACCCAACGTCTTTTGTCTTTTCCTTTGAGACTGGTATGGTTGTTTATTTCAAAGCACACATTAAAGGGGCAGGCACATTCCTTACAATTAGCCTGTTTTCCCTCCAACAGTAGGATTTCTTCAGGGCTACAGTGTTTTGACATTTGCGGATTAAGTTAGTGCTTACCTTCCAATCAGAAAGAGGTCATGCTAAATGCAGGATAAGTTGGCGAGGAAAATCAACACACTGTGACAAAGAAATATCTTTCATCACTCAAGAGAGCACCTCTTCTAAAAATGTGCTGCATCGGATTTTTCTCTCTGGGGCAAGAAAAGAGTCACAGGCATATGCTTAACAACTGCAGGATGGACACAAAGTTAGGAAACAGTGAATAGGAGCTTGCACTGTTGTATGCTTCCCATTCCAGGGAGCTTCTGGAACCTGACTCGCAGCAGCAACCCATGCAGCTTGGTCATCATGTGGGAGTTATCTTATCCCACCACTTCCAATACTGTACTCACCCTTTTGGAGTGTGGGATTGCAAGAGGGCATTTTGACAGGTGGAGCAGCGTATGTTTTACATGCAGGGAGACCCACTTTTTAGTCCAGAGTACAAGCTGATGTTAACCAAAGCAAGCGGAGGTCCCACACACCCGGAAGGGTGATATACTTGGACGTAGTCTGTTTCGTCCCTGAGACACCAACGGCTGTGATCCGTCTCCCACTTCTGTCTTGCCTGGCAGTTCAGCCCTGCCTAGCAGGATCTCATGCCAAGTCTAAATGACATTCCCAACCTCCCCTCCAGCAAAATAGCAACAGCTGGCTGACTCCCTCTGGCAAGCAGTGCCCATCCCACTTTCGTGTTCTGAGAGGCCTTCCCTTCCTCTCCAGTTCAGGTTCGGAGAATCTGGGTGAGCAGAGGAAGGATGGGCCATTGCCCTCCCACCCACCCCCCTGGGCCACCAGGCTGTCTGCCATGCTCATCACAACCCCATCAAGAGGCCAGTGGAAGCCAAATCCTGCGTGGCTGTGGCCAGCAGGTTCACTCCTGGAGACTATTTTTTTGTGGACCCTGGGACACTATCAGGCCACTTCTTTAGTGACTTGTGTGGAGAAGGGCGATTGGCCACTCCACACACACACACACACACATCCCCACCTCACAGCCCAGTCGATCCAGCAGAAAATGATAGGGCTCTGGTCTAGTTTCAGGAGCGACACATGAAAAATCTGGAGGCTGAAGGACATGCACCCCTTCATTTTAGCAGGTGTTCCTCAATTTTGAGCTTTCTCGTGTGAGGGTGTTCTTGTGCGGGCATTTCCAGTCCCTGGAGCAGAGTGTGTCTGTCTCTCTCTCTGGATTTCCTGGTTAGAACTGCCGATCTAGGCAGAGAATGGTCAGCCGTGTGTAAAGCGTTGGTTAGCCAGGCTGTAAATGAGTAAATGGCAGCACCAGAAGAGGCAAAGTGTGCCTAATCTCTCCTTTGTGAGCTCCGAAATATATACCCTCTCAGGCCAGAAAGAGGGGTGGGTCCTGTATATATGACTTGTGTGGCTGATGTGCACGGTGCTTGTGTCGTGCGAACCAGTGTTGAATGACACCTTGTCCCATGCTCTGTTTGTATGCACACCTGAACTGTTTCAGGCTCAGAGCTGAGAAAGTAACTTCTTTGAACCGTAGTTCCCAGAACCGGTTCTGGCTGGGGGGGCTTTGAGGAGGGAGGGCTGTAAACCCCCCCCCCAAAGGGAACAGTTCCAGTTTGTGATCTAGGGGAGCTGGGTCCCTCTCCCTCCCCTCTTACTTGATCATAAACGTGCATT